AAGGCAGCAATCTCTCCAGGATGTCCTTCCCCGAGTCCCATGGACAGACGTCAGCTGCCAGCTTCATCCCCTTCTCGGCCTCCATCTTGGGTATAAAGTTAAGAAGGTTGTAGCCGCAGCGAGGGAACACAATGTCGCATTCTCTGAGGTAGAGGCTGGGGCAGAAGTCATTGGTGCCATCTCCCACGTATGCGATGGTGGAGAAGGTGATGTTTTCCTCTCCCCGCAACTTCACGTAGTCGGCCAGGATGGAGCCCTTGCACAGGTTCTTGGTGCTGAGCGTGCACCAGTCTTGATGGTGATACATTTCTATGTGCAAGCAGCCATCTTTACTAAATTCTGCTGGGTTGGTGAATATCTCCTGAAACAGGTCTCTTAATCCCACATTTCTGAGAATATGATCAATAAACACTGAGTTGGCATCAGAGATAATAATAAATTCTGTGGCATCTCTGGGAACACCTAGTAACAGCTCTCTCATGCTGTCTGTTAACTGGATTTCACTCAGGCAGTTGAGAAGCTTTTCTTTGGTAACATCATTCTGACAGAGATATTTGAACACCTCACCCATGTAATGTGTCCATCCATCTTTCCTATACAAGCTCTTTAGGTCATCAGGTATCTTGTGCCCTGGAGCTAACTTGTATATGTATGTATCACAATTGTTGTCTATCATTGTGTGGTCAAAGTCTAAGGCTAAGAGGACTTTCTTCTTTGAATCTGACATCTGAAAGTATGAAAATAAAACTGCGATTAGTGAGCGGTATATCTCGTCTGTGATTTTGAAAAAGTTGAAGATTTGAATGCCATAAAAAAATAATATTCAACTATTTTGTATCATTATGACCAAAATGTTAGGATAAAAGATCTTTTTCTTTACATGCAAGATATAAAAAGAACATTTCAGCCACATGCTTGTGCTAACTTTGACAAAGCAGTTAATATCACCGATGGCTGATTATATCATTAGTAGCCTTAGTACAAGTACAATATACGATATCATTAAAAAAAGCCTTAGTTACTATTACAATGTATGGTATCATTTTAGGTCTGGACAGCTATATAGTACAAGGTACAGGCATACAGCATCAACAGACTGATGAATTCTGAAATATGATGCAACTAGGGCATTACCACTGGAAACTGAAAATAAAGGAAATATTTCCTCATAATAATCATAAAAATTGACAGCATTATTCTAAATCTCTTCCCGAACATCCAATGCATATAAAAATCAGACTGATGCATACATATTTGAACTAACACGAATTTGTCTGGAAACATAGCCATTTTTTTTTTAAAGAAACAATACCTGGCAGACCTATTTCGACACAAACAACAACCAATTACACATAGCCATAGTTCACAGGGCCAGTCATATGGTCAAACTTTACCAATTACGTTAAATTTGTTCATACTAAATTATTTGAATGCTTCAGTGCACTCAGGATCATGGTAGAAAGAGGTACCATTGCAGTTAGTAGAGAGGCAATTTTCAAAAAGTGGCTTAGTTAAGGAGTCAAAATCATTTTGTAGTAGAAACATAAACCCACCCCAGATAGTTGGACCATAGGGTGGGGGATGTGGCCTGGGTGGATGTGGATTCATTCAGGCCTTAAACCCCTATTTTCACCCCTTTTCCCCCCCAAACGTCTTTTTTGACATCTGGCACTTACGGGAAGTTCAATTGGTCACTGCTTAGTTTAGGTTAGGTTAGGTGACCCTTTTTCTCATAATTGCACATTGCAGCTTCTTAATTGTAAAATACAATGCACACAAGATAAACAGAAAAATCAATAAATCTCTCACATATGACTGTAAATCTAAATTATTCTGGAGTGTATGACCATCTTTTTGTACCTTAACCTCACATAACATTAAAAAAGGGTCTCAAGACCTTTTTTTTTTCATTTAGATCCCTTTTTTAACAGTCCTTCAATAAACAGTTATTTTCTGAACTTGCCGAGTTGAACTACTTACACTAGTCGTCCATTATCCAACATGTTTTGCCTGTCATCCCACAAATTACTTGTCAAGAAAGGGTCATTACACCCTTAACTATTAAACAACTTTAGCTACCATACACATGTACTATACAATAATACCTTTACATTTCACCACTATTATCGAAGGGAGGGTTGGGTGGAAAGGGCCAAAACAATAGCGCTTGAATAAAGAACACATTTCCCACAAAAGACATGAATCAAACCAATTAAGAATAGTGATATGCCAACCTCAATCTACTAACCACGCTAACTTAGAGGAAAGGAAGATGCCTGAACATTCAAAGGCTCTACAGGTTTCAGTATCATGTTGGCGTAGTCCCTCGCATTTGCAAGCACTACTGCATGGCAATCCACTTTTGAGGTACCACAGTGGCTAGAGGCACACCCTGATTTACTAGAGAAGGTAACTAGCTCCTTGCATGATTTTGGAACTGCTTTAACTGTCATCGGCACAGGGTTAAAACAGCCCCCTTCCATTGACCATCCACTGCCATCCGGGGCCGGTGGGTCAGGTTTTGCTGTTAAAGCTTGCCTCCATATATAGGATTGATAGTTGGCCCGCTTTCGATGGAGCTGAAGGGCATCCTGGGTGGGGGGCAAACTGTCGACTGAACATTTTCCCTTGAGGAACATTTTGAGACGCACCTCACTGATTGACAAAAGACCCAAGACCTAATACATGACACAAAAACTGTTCTCACTCTCAATGGCTCCTTTGGACATTCAGCAGACATCCCAATCTTGTTGAGCAGCTTTAGCTTCTCCAGGAATGTTCTCCATGTTGTCTTCTTCCCTTTCCCTGCAAACTGGCTATTGACAATGTACCCTTGAGATTTTTGGTCAAATAAAGAATTAATCCTAACCTCTATTCTACTAAAATATTTGTGATGTAAGTTTGTTGGACTTTGCCATAGAACGAAAAGTATGGCAGCCATAGTGATTGCCATACACAAGGTGTGCCAAGCAGAGGAGTATATTTGTCAAAAGCACAAATTTTACATCGTTTTATTCTAGTACCTTCAACATATGGCAGAACTCAAGGATGTTATATGATATGCGATTCTTCCTCCAAAGATTTCTAATGAGTCCTTCTGAACACTTGGACATGGCAAAGCAAACAATGAACACCAGAATTGTTCTCATAACATTGAAGTACATAAGAGAACAAGCAGCTATCTGTCCATCCAGGTGTCATGGCTGTCTAAAAACTAAAATTTCATCTTATGTACAAGGTCAAGTCAGGTTATGGGGAAACAATAACATATATCATTAGCTTATGAGTTGACAAGCCTCATACCAGCTCTGTGCCAATTAGTTATATATGTTATATATATGACACAGCTAGATAAAACATCAGGTAAGGTCATGAGGTCTACTAACCCCATACAATGCAAAGGGGGAAGCATAGGGTGTCACCGCACATGAGTATTTGCGGCCTATAAGCTGCACAGCTGGCAAAGCGGCCACTCATGTAAGCCTAATGCCGGTATTTTGGTCTATGTGACTGCTGTTAAGCAACTGGATCCAAGGGGCTAATACAATTCTTGGTGGCTGAGCATTTGCAAAGCCATCAATATGTAGAAATATTTGGTAACTTTTTAGTTCCACACAGCCATCCAACCTTGCAATTATTGTTCCTTGCTTCAAATTTTCATACAGTAATATGTGACCCCGCACATCAAAACGGGTATTAAGTCGCACTGGGCGATTTTGAGCTAGAACTGTTTTTATGCATATCAGGTCAAATTTGTCACTTTTCAGATTTCTATATAAAATGCTTCATAAATACTTCATCTATCATCTCCAAGTGAAAATACAATAAAATTCTATTGCAAAAGATGTTTTCGAAGGCCTTTTTTAAAGCATGGAAGGAAGACCTTGTCGAAAACTCCACCAAATTTGACCGCAAGCTGCCCAACCCCCCACAGGATTGAAATAGTCTGATAGTGAAAAGTATTTCTCCAATATCACATACACTGAAAATGTGAATGGTTTGCAGAAAAGATCTTGCTATCTAGGCTATACTCCCACATCATGATTCTGCCTTCTCTCTGAAAAAATTGAATGAAGATTTTGGTGGTAAGTAAGCCCAGGGTAGCATTTTGATGTCATTCAGTAATAGTTATATGTTCAAAGATTGAAAGAATACAACAGTTTGTCTTTATTGCCAATCCACTATTTCTTCTGATTTTTCAGTCTTTTGAATAAAAGTTAATTGGATTAAAATTTGGTTAAAAAATACCGCCATCAAGTTGAAATTTCAAATCAAAGCTTGATTTTGTATCAAGACACTGTATATTTCCTTTGATATCAAAATCACTGATAAAATGAATGGCTGCTAGGGAAACTGTAACCCTGTAGTCCTTAAACTTTGACCTTTACTTTCTCAAAACTTTGGTTGTCAAAGTTCCCATGTTTTCCGATCTTCAAATGACAATATCTTCGCAACCACAGAAGATATGAAGATGATTTTGGTATCAAAATGAGGCTTTTAAATACTATTTAATACCCATTTTGATATGCAGGGTCACATATGTGTGAATCTCTTGTTATTTTCTATTGCAAATGATCAATATTAAAGAAAATATTGGTAACTGTTTATGAAGTGACCCTGTTACTCCAGCCACTATTGTGAATCCACAAACCTTGTCATATAAATAAAAAACCTCCCTCACCTGGGGGTTTTGCAACCTGACACCCACCCAACCACTGTCCTTCCCTATTAGCGGCTCTACCTCTTACCCTCACCTGATCACCTCAGGCTTATTCTCTGTGCGGCATCAGTCACAACCTATTTTTCGCCTATGCTGATCATTTCATGTATCAGTAAATGTAATTTCTCCCTCTCTTTATGATAGTATCATTACATTTTTCTTTAAAAACAAACCAAAGTATTACATATCGACTGCACAACTTGTGATCAACTTGGGAAGGAGATACTATAGATAAAAAGTATCTTATTTTCTGTCGTCCAGTCCATTACAGGCAAAGTTT